TTTATGCGACCACTTTCGCTCGGAAGGGGGTGGGGGCCCGGTTCCTCGGCTCTCCGTGGAGCTCTTTTCTTATTCATCCTCCCGTGCTAATAACGCCCACGTACACACACAGCACGCGAAACCTCGGCCGCGGTCTGGACACGCTCCCCCCCGGCCTGTAATAACCGATTCGGACAGGAGAGCGCGAGAGGGAAAGTTCATTTTACCGAGCGGGGGATTTAACGCTCGGACGTCTATCCCACTGGTTCGGCGCGCGAACTTTTATCGTGAACATGGCACGATCTTGCCATTTACGGGGTGCACGGGTATAAATTATGCGGGAATTTTGAAACATCGTGGAAAATTATCAAGTTGGTCATTTCAGAACTTAAAGAATCTCATTGCTTGGACTTCCGGTACAGTGGCCCAATTTTTGTTGGAACACGTTTTGGGGGGCGGGGGTCAGAAACACCTACCAGTAATTTTTCAGATAAAATTTTGAAAATACGTATTTGGATAATTTCGTATCGTAGTGAAAGTTACAAAAGATTTGAGAAAATATATTGTTATAACATTTTAATCATCGTTGTAAGAGTGTATTGGCAAGTAATTTTGACTTAGTACAAGAAGCACGAATGTCGGTATTTACGAAGCTGAGATATTAGCACTTGAAGTTTACGTTAAAATAATTTCTGACAAAATTTCTTCTGTTTTCAATTCCTTATCTAAATAGAATTTGAAATTGCCGTTTGTTTAATACATAGAATATATAATTGTTTGCAAACTGAATACCAGGTTTAACACAGTTTTGCAAAAATATGACATTGATACTTCTTGCGCCAAGCCACAGTAATATATGCTTAGAAAATTCATAAACTAAGAAGATAACATTACTTCTCAAAATATACAATACTAATGTTGTACTCGATAAATATTTACTATCTATCATGTAAACTATGTATGACTGAACCGAATATACGTGCTACACCTGAAGGGATTAACGTTGCGTTCAAATTTCCCGCGCTATCCTTAATGGCGGCGAGGCAACAGTGCGCAGAACCTAACAAATTCATTCGGGTTTCCACCGAAAGCACATTAAACATTTATAATATTCATTAGAACTTAATACAGCAATTCCTGCGATGAGACTGAATAATTTCGAATCACTTGGTTATAATCAGTTTATACAGAAACTCGCGGCGTTTCCAAACAAACAATAATCATTCAGAACTCGAATCTCGCACGGATGAATGTTTCATTACGATCGTAATAACGTTTACGTGGTATTAAATTTCCTTAAAGTCTCTGTTTTAAGGTGTTCTGTAGACGAATTAATGTTATAAAGGCATAAACATCCAGAGTGCAATATCCTGACAAGTAAAGCCAAGATGACGCGTGACCGTTAAACAGAATTTGAAATTCACGACTCACCAAATCCATTTTCGAAGGAAAGTTCTCGACGATCATCGACCCCGTCTGTCGTTCGATCTTCAGGTTGACTTCGTTCGCGATTTTATCACAACACTGTCACTCGTAACACTGTTAAAATAACTGAAAAGTGGAATAATAACGGAGCAGTTTGAATACTTCCATTTGTTGCCAGTGTCACCGAACGATTCGCCGTTTTTCGGCGGACAGAGTGCGCTACAGGTTGTCACGACGGCTACGTTCATATCGATAATTCAGTTTTGAAGGCTATGTTCGATGTTACCGATCAAGCAAACGGACGAAGAAATTGTTTTAGACGAAAATAAATTAGTTTTTATACTCCTCTTAGCGACATCAATATTATTTCAATTACTGATAGACACATTCTTCTATGCATACTTCAAATAAGGAACAGATTAACGATTATTTATTTAGAAACAAACGCCACGAATAAAAACGAGTATTTCCTCGATCTATAAATATATTGTACGAAATGAAAACGTATATTCATAAAAAAACATTGTTTGCAAGCTTGCTAGAACAGAAGATAAGATAACAGAAATGTGTAACCTAACCTACGAATCTACGAAATTCTCTTAAAGAAGTGGGTGAATTCCAATATTCATTTACCCATTGTATGTATGTGACTGTGGATCACATATGCATTTCTAATTCAGCATTTAATAGAGTTTAACACTATTCCTGTCAGATCAACCCTCTTAAAACTGGGTTAGAATTGTCTCCGTTACAAGACGAAACCTGCATAGTACTTGAACGTATGTCACAAAGTCCCTCGTTTTCTAACCTGCTCGAACCACATGGATCTGAACCAATTTTATATAAAACAGTGTACTATGAATATAAGTTTTTCAGCTGCAGATTAAAAGATGTGTAACTTATCGTGGACTTAGGATATCATGTCTTTAAGTCTATACACTTATGTGTACATAAATTAAATGATCGTCCATGTCTTAACACAGTTTTCACTTCTTTTGTGTTTTACTAAAACAATTAAGAGAAGGAACACACTTTTAAATTTCATTTTTATCCCCGTAAACTGATTTATTGAATTGTGAATTCGCATAAAACATCCACGGTCAACTGATGTTTCTTCTTGGCTAATCATTCGCTATGTGCCGTTGGTAAGTTCCCGATGGTGCCACGAAATTCCATGAACCCGTGCCAGATGCCAGTAGAGTCTGACTCCGTTCGTGCTGCTCTCTGCAGGGGATCTGGTCAACGTCGTAAGAACCTTGTTATCGGAATTTATGTTACATTAACCGCACTGGTTTCGAGTGGTTGATTTTACAGATAACATTAGCGTCGACCAATAGTTCACTTAAACGAACAATATACTCAACGAATCCTTCCATCATTAATCGAAAACGGTCGATTATTATAATTTAAATTGCAAATGACAAAAAAAATCCTCGTAGAGATGAAAAATCGCGGGAATTCTATCAGAAAACAATTGTTTTCGGAACTTCTTTCTGTTTCACGTTTTAAAATGACAATAATTAATATGAAAAGCGTGATGGGGTAATTTCACGTCACTTGGAAATACAAATGGCGACTAACATGTCCAATGTTAGTCAAGAAGAATTAATGTAACGTGTGATTGAAACGATTTATCGATACAATCGAGTTTCATTCTACAAAGTGAAAATGTACATTAATTTATTTATAGAGAAGTTCTGCTCAACTGGAAATAATAATAAGACAGTGATGAGGAAAACTGGTTGTTCGATTGACCAGCAAAAACAGCGAAGCAAAATGCAAATCCAGTGAAATATGCAAATGAGAATAGAATTTCTTGTATCGAACAACCGACCGAATGATTAACATTCAGTACTATTTAATGTAATCTCGAGAGCTTATGAATCTCGCCCCACTTGGACACCGTTTATCCTGACAGTCGCCATTACTTCTAATCAATTCCTTATGCAAATCGACTCATAGATGCACACGTGTATATTCTATACATCATATGTATTAAAACCTCTTTCATCCAATCTGAATCAAAATCCTTACGCTGCTTCCATAATATTCTCCGTTCCCCAACGATCATCACCATTGCCACGGAAGAAAATGGCGGGAAACTATTCCGAATTCAAACTCCGTTACAATATTTATTAATCGTTATACGATAGAAATCGCTTGTTGGCTAACGAAGCCAAAAACCCACACGCAGTTCCTTTTCGTGGATCCCCAAAATTGCCCAGAATGCAAAAACAGCTCAAAGGTTGAATAAACAAATTTCTCTTCTTTAAAAACGAACTGGCAACAAATTTAACCATAGAAAATTTCTCGATTGCATTACTATTCACACCGTTCGTGTCATCGATCTCGGTCAAAAATTAGAAAAAAAATTCCCTAAAAATTCATACTTAGCTGAAGATGTCAATGAACGATGACGTCAGCAAAAAGGATTCCTAAATATGACGAATAATTTATTCGTTTACGTACTTCTTCTTCGATAAACAGAAAACTTTCCACTGGTCGAACCAAATAAACATACTAGCTGTTAAATTTTTATTTTGAACCACCGTGGATCCATCTCGATCAGCATGTCGCTCTTTCTCTGTCGTCCGATTCGTCCCAGCGCGACCGGTTTCACTTTTCTCGCGGGAGCCCCCGTGTCGATAATTCGAACGGCAATATTTCGGCCGTCTGTCTAATTGCAGGCTCAATTTGCAAGTCAAACAGCCGGAAGAGTACTATATTTACGAAGGCATGAGAAAACAGCCTCGGTGACGTCACTGTTTAAAGGTCTGCCGTCGTGTTCTCCTGGCGGCTATTCGCCCGACGGTTTTATTTCTGCTTGCGGGACTGCGAGGACTGAAGTGTAGAGAGAAAAGGAGAGAGAAAAAGAGGAAAGGAAAGGGAAAAAGAGAGAAAACTAGGTGGAGAGAGAAAGAGGCCACTTCGTCCAAAGGAGAGAAAAGTGGAGGGGAATCGGAAAGAAGTAGATCGAAATCACCTAATTTTTTTTCGATTCGATCGTGATCTAGTAATTAGTCATCCACGTGACACACTGAATCTCGTTTTCATTGGATCCTAGACGCGAGCGCGGAATAATCGCGGCTCGATCACAGCCGAGAATCGTCTCTAGGAGACCGTGGTAGTTGTTTGGCCGGCCGATGTCATACGAAATTTCACGTCCTGGACGCGCGCAACATACGTTCCCCGAGATATTCGATCGCCGTTGAATCCGTTGAAAAATGCACAATCAAACGGAATCGTCCTGCTCTATCGTTTCGTTTTAAGTGTTCGCGCTCGCAAACACGCGAAACGGGGCTTCGATGTCTGAGAGAAAAAGGCATGCTCGAAGTGTTACTGAAACGGTTCGATGCGAAATTTTTCTAATCGACGGGGAATAAAGAAGAAAATTAATAGCAGATGAACTACGTAACGTGGTAGGGATCGTTCGGAGGTAGAAAATTTCTAAATGTAAGTGCGTGCAACCATCGAGAAGCACAAAGAACTTTCTGCTGATATTGAATAAAATTTGTTATTTTCTATTAAATACGATTCTCCTGTTTTGTTAACAGTTCAGTTACATATACATGATCACACGAACACCGAGATCAACCATGGCCGCGAAAAAATCGCAAAAAATCGAGGCCCAAGTGGTCGAGGCTATACGGAGGCTGCAGGCTGTTCAAGGATCGACTACCAGGGAGATTAGCAATTATATTTCTCAAGAATACGACATCCCGAGCGCCGAGATCAGACGACAGGTTCAGATCGCCCTGAAACGCGGTGTTGCGTACGGAATCCTTCAGAAATTGAAAGGGTACGTATACGTTTCTGTCCTGACACACCTTGGCCGAGCACAGCTGACGGGTCTATCGATCCCATTCGGACAAGAGGTGGACAGTTCTATCTACTCTTACTCGCCTTTTTTTATTCACGAAACCTTGGCTCCACGGTTATTAATGCTCGGCAGTCTTAAGTTTCCCCCAAATTTTCCTTCAACACTAGCTCTGCACGTGTAGACCCTTTCTTGTCCACTAGAGACCCAAATCTTCTATGGCCCTGTTAGGTGTGCTACCCCATATTCTTCCCACTGACTTTACATCTCTTCTTTCTCTTTCTTTTTCTATTAAAGGTCATCATCAAATGTTAATTACGTGGTACATCAATGTTTGTCAATACTATTTCTCGTTCACCAGGGGATGTTACACGTACAACCTGGACTTCCTCGACAGACACCAGGCGCACAGCGCGGCAGAAACTGGCGTGGATATGCGGTCACGCAAACGGAGACGAAGTCGTAGACGGCGAGGCCGTTCCAGGAGGCGTAGATCAGGCAGAAGGAGAAAACGACGCGGCTCTAGGCGTAGATCCAGGCGTAGAAGACGATCTCGTCGTAGGCGTAGCAGACGAAGGAGGAGGCCAGACGTGCCTCGGGACATCGACACCCTGGACGTGAACACGTTGCCCAAACAACCGAGGAGAAGCCACAGCCTCTTAAGAAAAGAGTCCCCGCAAAGCCAGGCGTCCAGCGTGTCGGACGCGTTGGACGAGAAACAAGAAGACTGATCCTCCTCGAAAGCCTGCCGAACAATCGATCGATCTCGAACCGAGCAAGACATCACCACCAGTGCAAAGATTGACCCAAGAGAAAAGATACCAGGAGAGGTAGTAAAGAGCACCCACAGCTGATAAAACACATTTATTTCTTGGTCCATCGGTCTTACGTGTCCATTTTCTATCCACTTTTCTTGGGCATGATATTCCTTTATCCGCGAATACACTATCTTGGGATGAGTATATTATAGGGTGACCTGTCCAGGCAATGAACCATCCCCTAGTGAATGAACAGTACATATGAAAACGAGTAAATTAAGTTACTGTCATAAGTGAATGATTGAATATTGATTTCTCTCAGTTCCTTTTTTTGCACGGGTCACGCCATGGTAAATTGATGGGAAAAAAACCGCATTTTCAAAAAAAAAAATACATTTCTTTATTTTTTTCACAGGCCAACGCAGGAGCTACCGGGGGAACTGAAAGAAAATTCTTGTGGAAGTCGTGTCTGAATATATCGTCCTTTCGATTAATCTATTTATCATTTTTTCTACCTGAGTTTATGTATATACACATTTGCGACGTCCAGTTATATTTTTATACAAACATGTAGTGACAATAAATTTTGTGACCATTTCCATATATACATTTGTGCAACATAGAAAAAAAATTAATTTTAAACATTAAACGTTCAATACCGAAGTAACACCCATGAAAAGTTCCTTTAACTCTTGGAAAAAAAAAATAGAAACTTCAATTAGTTATCGGAAGCAGTTTAGATTACTAGAAAACTTTGATTACGGACTTCAACAGTGTTGGCATTGTAAAGTAAACAGATAAGGAATTACACAAGAATAAAAATTTTTACTCTTACATTTTTCAATATATTTTCATGAAAGTTTTATCAACAAATTGAAGAGATTCTGCCGATGAAAATGAGTCCAAACACGACGTAATTTGGAATATATACTACTATCAACAAGTTTCTCGAGAATTATCAAGAATTCAAAATACAGAAAAAAAATTTCTAACAAAAAAGGTTAAGCTCTTCAAATAAAAGAAATACAGAATAAAATTTCTCGTGAGAAATGGAAAGTATCGAGAAATCAGACACGCTATATAGGAACAGAACCCGTGCTCGTCGACGACGGCCCTGCTTGCGGCCTTGTTGGCTAATGATAGTCTCGCTAATGATGCGTCCGTACACGCACACGTGTAGTAGTCCCGGTAACGCGTGACTATTTCACCTAGCTGCTGCTGCCTCTGCTCTGCGCTAGGATAACCGAGTTGCGGCAAGAGAGACGGTTTGACAATAAAAGTGGCAAGATCAGTGCGCGGCGACCGGTTCGAAACAGCTTCAGCGCGTCGTTGTTTTCCCTCCCCCAAAGACCGCAAGATTTATTCGGATCGCGTGAATATTTTGGATACGATGCTCCTGGAGCCTGGCCAGAAACCGTGTATAAAGTTGAACGGTGCATTACAAATGATTACAATTCTCGGATGGGCTGTGAGTATAATCGCGCAGCGTTCCTGCGGCCGAATCACTGGCGACCGATCGGTGAATAAATTCGGCGAACTATTCGTAGAGCTCGAACTATTTGAATATTTTATAAGTATTCGAATACATACTACGAATAAACTTCGAATACTTCAGTATTCGAATACTACGAATAAACTTCGAATACTTCAGTATTCGAATACTACGAATAAACTTCGAATACTCGAGTATTCGAATACTACGAATAAACATCGAATACTTGAGTATTCGACTACGAATAAACTTCGAATACTTACTACCATATTCAAATACTCGAGTAATTAAAGTTGACTGTCGTATCTACTTTGCTTTCTTTAAACAAAAAGCTTCGTAAGTGTCACCATGTATTTCCAGTCGTTAATGGAAAAACGGGTCTTAATACACCATGTCTCCACAGTACACCTTACCTGACGATCCTGCTTCGCCACGATATTGAGCTACAGATCTCTGTATAATCGCGGAGATATCCACACGACACGTAAATAACGAACGATCACGCGCGTCGATAATTCTATCTCGAATGAAATCGTCGCTCGGCATAATTACTCGAGATACGTGGATAAAGCGACTCGTTAAGGCCCGTTTACACGTTCAAAGAATCCGCGCGAACTGACGTGTGCATTCACACTTCCGCAAACAAACATTGATTTTACAAATTTTTCTTCATTTTCATCAATATTCTCCATTTTAATAGAATAGCAAGTACAGTGCTTAATTAAAAACAAACACTAGTCAGTTTACACAACAAAAAAATTTTTTCAAAAATTTTTAAAAATTATTTTGATTACACGGCAATGCAGATAGTAACTATGCCAGGTAGAGTGAACGTACAATGCACTAGTCAGTTTGCGCCAACTATTTGAACGTGTAAACGGGCCTTTAGGAAAGGTCGCAACGAGCAGGTATGTATACAGAGTGTCCCATTTAAATCGTCCCACTCAAATATCTCCGAAACTATTGATGATACTAAAAAATGTTTCAGATAAAAGTTATATGGTATCTGGGGGCACAGTTTCTGATATGATGACCTAACCTCTTCGCTCGTTAGATCGAGTATAATCGTCGCTAGTCCAGGACTGTTGTTTGCACAGTTTTCGCTCGGTTCTCGTCGGTACGTTTTCTTATTTCTGTGCCCCGTTTCTTCGCATACACTCGAGAGCGCGCTGGATGGTTGTGTGTCACACGAGTTTAAACGGACAGTCGGGCTAATGTGATTGGACGAATCGTACAAGTGTGCGGCCGGACAGGAAGCCTTTACACATCTCGTGCCTGAAAAATATGGCTTCCCCGTCAAGGTTGCTGGACGGCATCGAACGGAAAGTCGGAAGGATCGAATACGTTTTTCGAAACTCCTTAATCCCTTTCCCTTAAAAATTTGTCCAATTATCAATTTCTATTTAAATAAAATCGACAAGTTGCAAAATTTTCGATTGCTCGAGCTAAATAATCGTACGAACTACTAAATTTTGATTCTGGAACACTATTTACCGATCCAACGTTCGCTTCCTCGAAAAAAAGAAAATGGCCGCCAACAAGTGCGCGAGAATTTTGAACGGGGAAACCGAAAGAGGGCGAGGCAAGCTTGCGCGCGCGCGCGCGCGCGCATCGCCGAGAAAATGAACGGGAATAATATTCGGCATTGGAGCTGCGCCAAAAACGGCGAAAAGCAGATTTCGGCTAAGTGCATCGCCGCGTTGTTTCACCTGAATTTTAGTGTTACCATGTGAAATACCGCGAGCGCGTGGTCACGTGGCTAACGTCGCGCGGTCACGTGCCATACGGGGCGGATTCTCATGTGACGTCCGGCGTTTAAAAACAGGGCGCGATCGTGAACGCTCACGTGGTCTATCCACGCTGTGTTCTTCGTCGCCTATTGGCCCGATTCAACCGTGAAATAATTTAGGGTACCCCTAATTAAAATTATTTCAGGCAAAAAAAAATATTTTTGAACTATTTATTTTGCAATTGTATTAAAGAAATGCAATTTTGTAATAGTAGAACCTCATTGAAAAATTTGAAAAGAAATTAGGATAAGGTATTATTTGTCCTCTTCATGAACAAATTTTCAAAAATATGGACATTTTAAAATTGGCCATATGAAAATTATAATGTACTTCGACACAGCGTTAACTTCAATTAATTTTCATTATGGCCAATTTTGAAGTGTCCTTAGTTTTTTTAATTTGTCCATAAAGAGGACAAATTGGGCAATAGGACCCCCGTCTATCAAAGGTTAGGTGAATCGCAAGGTTCGTCTATGGAGAACAAAGTACACCGCGAATTTCCTCTGCAAAAAACTACACGAACTGCAAAATTTCAGGAACACTGATAGTTGACAGATGATTTAACCCCATTCACTGCTTATATACTTTCTATTAACACTCTGATTAACACATTACAGGCCAAGCGTTCTGTTGCTATCCGCCGCTCAAGGCTCGTTTTTATGATTTGTGTATACTCGAAACATATCATTCATTTACTGTAACATCGTCATAACCAAAAATGAGCAATTTTTGAGTTATTAGTATAGGAAAACTGTTGTTATCTGTACATTATATCAATTGAATCCTGTAAGTGAGCTTCGAAAACTTACCACATAAAAATAGTTACTTCAATATCGTGTTCGTTCAAAATTATATCGATCAAAACACTTTCAAACTCGTTTTCCCCAAAATCAGAATTTTTAAGTGAATCAAACACCCCTAAATGCAGGGACTTCTACCGAAACGTAAAATACCGGTATTATTGGTTGTACCTTCGTATATAACCCTATATAAATCCTACCCTTATAGAAATCGAAAAAATACTGGTATTTATTTCGGTTTTCGGTAATATATCGGTTTCGGTATAGCTTCGATGGCATAATATCGGTATCAAAATCATACCGATTTAAGTCCCTGTCGAAGTGTCCCAAACTCAACAACAGCATCTGTAGAATCGGTATTATACAGTTTGGAAAACCGTACAATTCATCGTTCCTCTTGTCCCCTAGACTAAACGAACGCGACAACCGTCCGTTTTCCATTTCTAATCAGACCGACTTTAAATCACAGCCGCTATCTTATCGTCGGAGTCCCTTTTACAGGATCGTAAATAGACGCTGGAGCAGAAACAGTCCACGTGGCAAACCTTCGCGCGCCACGGGATCGTAAATTATTTAAGCGGTCGTAATAATGAGTAAGCGGGTTATGACCAGATAAGACTCGTCCCGGCGCAAGCTTGCTGCTTATTGCACCTCGAGGATGCTAACGAGTTCGAGTGGCGTGGACAGTTGGGGGAGAGAGCAGTTCTTCTTCGTTCGAGGTCGTCGCAGTTTTTCTCACAATCTTCATTTGTTGATTCGAAAGTATCTACAGATAATAATTTCAACCATCCAGATTCTAGAAGGAACATTTTGATTGCGATTGGATCTATTATCGAAAAAAATCTATACTTGTATTGTGAATTGGGCAAAATGTAATCTAATTACAAACCCAAATCACAATTAAAATGTAATTGCAAGACAATTAC